CAAATGTTACAATACTTGAACATAATATGCATGTTCTTCTAGAAATCACGAATATCCAGCATTCTGCTTATCTCAAACATAATAGAGGAATTCATTTTTTTTTCTTGGACCACGCATGTCTTTTGGGTCTGAATGCATTTATAGTCCGTACTGTCATAACATTCAAAAATGTAAATCTAAAATGCATTGGATCCAAAATAAAATCTAAAAAGCAGATGGGCAAATCCATATGAAAATAACTAAACGCAGTGCTGCGAAGTAAAACAGTCATAGGAAGCCAAAATAAGTATGACAAATTGATTGAAGCTAATACCGCATCTCCCTCCTCTGGAAGGGAAGGAGGTCCTCCCTTGGAAGGTCTTAAAACTGACACCACCAATTCAAGAACATGCATACTGGTGCACGCACAATTTCTGGTTTCTGGGTTCTCATCTTTTTGCACTAAAGCTCTTTGTGAACTTCCATTATGCATTTCATTTCGAACCAGGTCTAGAAGAATTGCAATCTGTTTAATGTTGTAAAATTATTTCAAATCATAGATGTCCAATTCAAAATTTTAATGAACATTGAAGCTTTCAAATAATTAAAATTGAAATAAATATGTTTACCATGGAGGAGGACTCGCAATTTCTAACCAAAGCTTTTAAAACATCAAACCTCTGAAGAGTTGGAATATCAGCAAGAATCTGTTTTGGCAGGGTTGATTCACATTGATAAATTAATTTCTAGCTAATCATATTGTTTCATGTATTAAAAGAAATCACAGAAGCAAGAAAAGAGTAGTACAGAACATAAAATTGAATTTTCATGTTAAAACTGGCTAAAAACTGAAATATATAAAAAGAATATATATATATATATATATATGTTTTTCTTACGGTAAAGTGTATAATGTTCATACCCTTTTTAATGCATCAAATGCTTTCTTCCTTACAGCTGTATCTGGTGCATAAATGATGACTACCGTAATAGCCTAAAAATGCTGATCCTGACAGTGAGAAACAGAAAGAGAAGCTAAATTCTTTATAGTACCAGCTAGAAAGATACTACCTGCAAGGCAGCGAACAGACTAGGTGTATAAATTGAACAGTCAATTATTTCATTGCTGCACTTTAGCAAGATATTTCCACTTGTTATGCACAGCAAAAAGTCAATGGCATGTGTCCTCAGTTCCCATGGCAGATTGGCAGAAGATAGAATTTGCTTCAACATGCCAACTGCTTCCCACCTTTTTATCTGATTAGTTTGAAGTTCACCCTCAACGACAGTCAAATCAGCCTGAGCAGCCTGAGGAATCTCATCAGAGACTTTTCCCCAAATTACTATCACAAAAGAAACAGGAAAACAATATAAGCTTAGGAGAAAGAAAAATATAGGACAATCAATTCCCCTGTGGAAGGTTAAAAAAACAATATATCATTGGTTAACACAAACCTGCAAGAGATGCACCAAGTTTGACATCAGACAAACAATTCATATAATAATATTCATTGTCTGTGCATCCTGTAATCAATGAGAATATATTTGTTAAGAGTGAGAGAAAAACTGAAGATGAGTATTAAGTTATATATTTCTCTGGAACAACAGGGAATGGGTATAATCTAGTCATTTCTGAAAACTGACCTTCAGCAACAATGTTAGTAATTGCCTCAACATCACTCCCAGTTATTAAACCAAGGTATGATAAGCCACAGTATGGAAGGAAACGTGCCAATCGTTCAACTAAAGGAATGTAGCCAGCAAGTTCATATTTGATGCTGAGTGAAAGAAAAACCTGCACATCCAGGGCGCATCATAAGACAATACGCGCAAACACATATATTATCTGGAAACTTCAGGCAAAATAACCACCAAAAACCTTCACAAAGGAAGAAGAGCACCTACCAGTATTTGCAGAACATATAGACCAAGTAGCGAACACAATCTTTCATTTCCTCTGCCTTCCTAACATATAAAAAAGACTGAGAATATAGCAAATAATATCTTGAGATTTTAAGAACAATCTTTGGGATTATCAAAATGTAACATACCAGTTTTATACAAACTCCATGGATGGACTCAGCAATGGTTATAGGTCTATCAAAGAAGTCCTCAAGTTCCCCCTCTGACTCTGACAACGTGTCCTTTAGAACCTTGATGATAACAGGAATAGCGACTTTTATTTGCTCAAAGTGACGCCTCTGGGTGGAAAGGAAAACTGGAAACAGAATAGAATCATCAACAAATTTCATTCCGCAACAGGATAAATTTTAGTATCCATCTGAAATCCATGAGCAGATAGACTTGAATATTCAGTCTTAACAATAATAGAGGGTGTTTTGATTTAGTGAAAGAAATGTGCTTAAAATGCCAGATACTTCTAGCTCAAACAATCAATACTCAGAACCAGAAGGACAAGAAAAGTGACAAGATACAAAGGTTTCAATTTTATTATGAGAAGAGTGATATTCAAACACTAAACCAGCAAAAAGACTGCAGCCTCTTCCTTGAATATATCAAAATATCATGACACTTTCGGTGACATCTTAAGTTAAATCTGCAGATTCCTCCAGACAGCAATAAAATTTTATAAACAAGAACCTAGTTAATCTTTCGTTCATATATGATTACCTCTTGACAGTCCACGTAGAAGAGGAGAAGAATAGCTTGGACCATTGACCATCTTCCCTTGGCAATCTAATGCCTGATAAATCAATATTTAAAGAGTTAAGTAATTATTTTCTAACTAATACCACCCTCTGATTATGAGAAGCTGCTAAATGCATATGGATGGCACAGGACCAACTAAATATTCATGCTTCTTGCACTAGTATTATATTAAAAATCCATGAAATATTGCGAAAATGAAACAGAAGCTGCAGATGAAGGCCTTCTTTTTCTTATTTATATAAAAAAGCAGGAGCTCAAAACAAATAAAGTAAAACTCAATTTGCTTCATGAGACGGTGTTTTATTACTTTTATCTTTCATGAATGATAAGTCATCCTCCTGATATCTACCGTCAATCTCTAATTATTCAAGAATGGCCCGCCATGTCATAAGTGCATTAAAATGCAGGAGATGTGCATTCCTCTGCTTTGTGGAATAAACCTTTTCTCTTGAGAAATGGAAAATCACTGAGGTCTCCATTTCAGTACAAGAGATGAACTTCATATTCTAAAACACGTAAGTAAATAACAAACAACAAGCTGAAGAACTGTCTTATGTAATTTCAGATATTTTGTGATTAGCACACCCGGAAAATTGAATATATATGTAATTCACTCACTATAATGGAACTATTCTAGATCTTCATAAAATAAATTTTAGGTGACAAACAATTTTCCAATTGACTTAGGTAGGATTACAAGGATAAGAAATGGCAGATGCAATTTCAATCTTAATTATTTTACATATCAATTGTGCTTGATGCCCAGTACTAATATCCCTAATATCCGTAATATGCTAACAAAAGATTCAGTGCAATAATGAATTAAAAACACAAACAAATTCCAAGGGATGTTACCAGTTGAGCAAGCTCCTAGAATGCCACTAACCAAAAATGTTAAGAAGCTAAATTCTCCAGGAAAAGAAGCAAATAAGATATAATCATATGCAACATTCCATATTTCTATGTTCATCAATTAAACTAGATACAAACGCACATACCTCGCAGAGAATTGAAAGCATGTCGCGTGGACTACATGTTGCCACAAAACATCAATAATTTGATCAACAATCTCCAAAATCTACTTGAGAGGCCCGCAAATTTTGAAACCGCTTTTGGCAACTCAAACGAAAATGTGTCTATAACGGTCTGCACCAGCAGAAGGAAATCAACAAAATCACATAAAAAAAATAAACAAAAGAGAAATTAGAAAAAGATGATAAAATTAATAAAACATAAGAAACCTGGTCCAGTGAAGAAGAAGACAATAATCTATTAAATTCCGACAGAACTTCAAGTGCAACATTCTGTAACTCTTCATTGTCAGGGTGAGATGTAGCATCATCTGATATTGAATCAAGAAAGCTAACAAGTTCAGACAATAAGCTCTCTGATTTTTGAAGATCTCCTCCTTCAACTGACTACAAAATTTACCGATGATATTAGTTAATAGCATAGACTTCAAAAGTAAGTATTATCTTCTTATCCTACGTTATAACTTTCTTCATATGCATGCTGGGCTTCTATGCATGTATATATTGTGCTACCATTGAGGGCTATTCTTAGTTCTATTAGCAGTAGAATAAGAAAAATATATAAACATACTAACTGAGAGCTTTTGAACCATTCTACATAACCTAAATTAATCTTGACCGCCAAACTAAGCGACAACGCAGCTGGTTGATAAGGCTGGCAAGAAAAATTACTATACAGAAAAAAATGAGTATATTTAACATCGATCCTCAATAACCAGAACAAAATAAAAAGCAGAAAAACACAGAGCTAAACAAAGCAAAGATGTATGCAATAGTTTTATCAACATCAGTTTACAAAATCTCTTCGCGACCTTCAGTCTCAGGCACTGGCCGTATAGAGTTTCCTGCCTTAATTTATCAAATAAGAATATGATATACGATTGAAGATTTTGATTTTCGCTGAACCATCCATCATTTCGTGGGAATCAGACAGGAACATGTAAAATCATGAAGGTTGCAATGAGGAGCCTTACTTTGGAACATAACGTCACGATTTCTTGGAGACGAATCACGGGATGAATAAGAGAGTAGTGTTCCCCAATCTCCGTGCTCTTTGCTGTTGACATGACTGAGCTACGAGAGTCTGCAGTAACACTGTCACGCACCTTCACTGTTTTGGACTCTAATTAGAGCGAGCAAGGCGGGGGCGCTGCCGCACAACTCTCGCGAGTTCTTGTCTGGCCTGTTTGGTAACTCGTCTGCAATAAATCCCATTCCGGGTTCGGTTGGCTTTTCAGCCTTTTATGGTTTAATCAAATATCGGCTAATTGCCGTTGTTTGGAACGGGTGGGATAAAAAATGATATAATAAAAAAAGGGAATTTACTTTTTTGTGTCTTGGCATTTATTGTAATACACAACTGGCTTGTAACTCTACTTCTTCGATTGTGATTTATTATGTATTATAATTTACAATTTATAATATTTTATTTCCTATAATTTTATTTTTAAAAATCAATAAAGCCATCAGAAAACAAATAAAATAAAATATTAATAATTAATTATCTATTTGTAAAATATATATGAATATATTTAGATTATCGATTGTGATGAAGTAGAATATTACAGTTTTTAAATTATAATATCTTTTGTTAAAATTTTCTGAAAAACAAAATAATTTTTATATACTACAAATACTTCCAAAAATGAAATATAATTTAATCATAGAAAATAAAATAATATAAAATGTAATTATGATGGAATTTAACAATATATTAAATTCCAATAACTACATAGTAAAGTAAAGTTTAAAATTAAAAATATCATATGAAATAATAAAATTCTTAAGGGCTTATAAATTAGAGTTATTTTTTTTTTGTAATTTTAGCTAAATCTGTATTTATAATAAAACGATTATTTCTTGTTGATTATATGTAAATATTTGTGCTTAATTAAACATAATACAATACAAATATTAAAAAAAATTGAATTAATATGATATTTTGAGTTAAGTTGAAAAAATATATTTTAAATTTTATCAAAATTTTAAAAATAAAATAAATACGTTGGTTTTTTTCCAATTACAAATTTATATGTGGCCAATTTTTATTGTTTTATGTATAATTTAAATAGTACTAATTTATTTAAAAATATTTTTTATTTAAATAAATAAGAAAACTATTTAAAAGAAAAGAGAATAGACAATTTTTAAATAATTAAAAAATTAGAAACAAAAATTAAAAAGTCATGCGATGACGAAAACTACAGAAGAGTGGTGATAAGAAGTAGGAATCAAATTTTCAAGCAAATCATTTCTATGATAACTGTATCTCGCCACTCCCTCTCCAGACAAGCAAAGACTGATACCCAACAAGTCCTTCCCTTCTAAATCTAATTTCTATTGCCGCGATTCGGTGCTTCCATTTCCAACTCCTGTTGCACATTCCCGTTGTTTAGCAAATCTGATGCGCCCATTTCTATAATAACACTCCTGCACTTCAATCGACTCCACCTTCCGATCCCTTCAATGGAACCCGACGTGAGCGTCGAGACCTCTTCCATGATTCGGATAGCCGTCCTCCCGATCGGCCATGTCCCACCGGGGATCCTGCGGGACTACCACTCGATGCTGCTGCGTCACCAGACGATTCCTCTATCTGCGATCAGCTCCTTCTACACGGAGCACCAGAAGTCGCCATTCGCCCATCAGCCATGGGACTCGGGCTCACTCCGGTTCAAGTTCGTCCTTGGTGGGGCTCCGCCGAGCCCGTGGGAGGATTTCCAGTCGAATCGCAAGACTCTCTCGGTTATCGGCATATGTCACTGCCCTTCCTCTCCTGATCTCGATTCCGTCATCGAACAGTTCAATGCCACCTGTAAAAGTTACACCTCTGCTCTTGTCGAGCGATGTTTTGCGTTTTGTCCCGGCGATTCTCATGTGAGTAGTTGAGTGTTCATGCTCCTCTCTTTTGCTTGTTTTGTTAATGGAATTCTGGATTAACCCGGAAAACAATATCTCGAAACTAACTCCTATCGAGTTTTTACTTGTTTTGAGATCGATCAGTTTAAATTAATTAAGTTGTTTTTTTTTTATTATTTAACCATTTGAAGGTATTTCATTGTCTCACCAGGAATGCGATGTCACCATGTTATGTGATTAGGAGAATGCTTTAAACGTCTTAACTAAATCCTAATACATACTAATTATGCTGTTCAGTGGAAAGTTTAGCGGGATGTGTCATTTAATACCAATTTTGCTTTTCTTTTGCAGCTAGAGGATGGAGGTAAGAAGGCCGACAACTTGATTTTGTTTCCTCCTGCCGATCGCCAAACACAGGAGTTTCACTTGCAAACTATGATGCAAGACATTGCTGCTTCCCTTTTGATGGAATTTGAGAAGTGGGTCCTCCAAGCAGAATCTGCAGGGACTCTTTTGAAGACACCATTAGATTCTCAAGCCAGTCTCAGCTCAGAGGAGGTTCATGTTTAGGTGTCCTAAGAATTTGCATGCGCATTTTTTTTTCTCTGTGAGGCTTCAGTTAACTTGAGATCCAGGATGTGGATCTTTGCAACTTAATCATTTTAAATGTATACCATTTAGGTTATCAAGGCCAAAAAGCGAAGGCTAGGTCGTGCACAGAAGACCATAGGAGATTATTGTTTGTTAGCAGGATCACCTGTTGATGCGAATGCCCATTATCAGACTGCACTAGAACTAGCCAGATTGACTGGGGATTACTTCTGGTATGCCGGGGCACTGGAGGGCAGTGTTTGTGCTTTACTGGTATGCTTATCTACGGGCCAAGATCAATTTTTATTACATTTGTATTAAGTACGATGCTTCACTGAGAAAATTGCATATGTCATATATGCATCACGGTATTTTAGAATTAGACAATAAGAAATTAAGGTTTTCTAGTTTGAAAATCGTGAAATGATATAGCCAATTCCACTTTCCATTTATATAGGATCTGAGCCCAATAGGAATCCCAAGTATGTTTTGTTATACAAATTGTGATCAAATAGTTCAACTGTATAATGGGATGCTTTTTCTAACATCAACTGCCCTTGATATGAGAAGTTTATTCCTATAAATTGCCAGCCAGTTAGCAGAATGCTTCTGAATTTGGATGTTGTTTTGTTTCTTCCTATTTCTCTATTTTGTATTTGCAATTTACTTTTATATTTGTTTTCCTCGTTGTTAGGTAGACCGCATGGGTCAAAAGGATTCTGTTGTAGAGGATGAGGTTAGATACCGATACACTAGTGTCATTGCATATTACAGAAAGTCATTCACACAAGACAATGCTCAGAGGTAACGTTGATTTTTCATTCTTTTATATATTACAGAAAGTCAAGGTGTGGAGGACAGTTCCCTGATGCTGAACCTCTGATCAAGAGGGTTGCAGTATAATATTAATGTCCTGCTGAACTTTTTATGTTGATAGGTTGCGTGCGTTTTGCTTCTGCCTGGAAAATTTTCTATATTCTTGTTATACTACTGTATAATAATTCTTAAAAATTTTACGTTGAAACTCTGATATTATGATACGTAAAAGAGTATATTATAATTCTAATACAATAATACATAAAAAAAAAAACATATTTTTTAGAGAAACGAAGGAGAGAAATAATATTAACAGGCCTCCAAGGGATAATATTTACAGGCGGGTATATACAAGAGATTTACATATTATTAACAGAAAGCAAAGTATCTGTAAGATTCCCTAATCCTTTCTAAAGAGGAGGATGGGCACAAAATAAAAAACTTAAGGCATGGAATTGATGATCTCTAGTAATTGCAAAAGGTGAAAAATGCCACCAAAAGTCTTCTTATTCCTTTTTTATTGATCTTCCCAAATGATAGCCATCAAAATGAGGGATTATGTAGTTGCAGGTTGTAATCCATACCCAAATCTCAACGACAATAGAACCACTAGCCAGCCAGGACATGTTGAGGAAAGAAAGTTGAATCCATAACTTTTTAGTCTTAGTGCAACAAAGGAGGAAGGGGTCTAGGGATTTACTATCTTCCAAAAACATAGCACGCTTGTTGACAATTTGCATCTACCATGCTCTCTCAAGTTATCGAAAGTGAGGATTCTATCCCATGCAAAGAGTGCAGTATAGAGGGGCCTTTTTTTTTTTTTTGCAAATTTGCTTCGAGGGAATTTAGATGCGACCTTGGGTTAAAGAAGACTATGTAGAAGGCCTTGGGTTAAAGAAGACTATGTAGAAGGAGTTGACTGAAAGCAATTATATTGCTTTTTATTTGTCTTATTTCTGCAAAAGGACAAATACAATAGGTTTGATACGACTGCTGAAGATGGCAGTAGTTTCAACAAGGTATCAAGATAATAGTCATCTTAAATTAAGAAATTGCAATGATAAAATGGAGCTTTGAGTCATTCTTCTATGAGCTCAGTAAAAAAGTAACTAGGAGAAATTAGACAACTAGAGTGTATACTGACAGGATTAATAATGTAAATTTTAGCTTATTATGAAACATATATTTCTATCAAGTCTCATAGTTGACAGGATAAAAGCAAAGTTTAATTGAAGGGCTAGCCAGAAGGTGATAATGTTGCATGTTCCTTTTCAGTCATGGCTGTGACCTATGACAAGATGATATTAGAACTTGTGATGCCACATAGACTCTAGAGAGGTGTTATATATATATTTTTTAAGAGCATAAAGTAGTAGAAACAGGCATATTGGTTTAATTCCATCAAAATATTTCGCTTGGGTTGTTAACAAGCATGACAAGCTTGCTGAAAGCTAAAATCTTGTACCTCAACTTGATCTTTGACAAATAACAGGCTACTCAAATAGTGGCATAATACATTATAAAGTTCCTGAGAAAGTGGTAGAAACATGTCTAGGACAGAGTTCATTGGTTTTCACCAAATTAAATCTGTTAGACTATTTTATTTGTTCTCGAGATAATTAGGTCCAATAACCAAATATTATGAGTGCTTCAAAATAGTTGGTTTGTACTTTGTAAAGGTAATAAAGTCTTAACATATCTTATCTCTTGTTGATTTAGGCTAATCATTTGTGCATGGTTCTTTTTAACTGACAAAATGTTCTGAAAAATGACAAATAAAATAGGTAGGTTGTGGAAGATGGTGGTGATGTCAACAGGATATTAAGATTATAGTCTTCTAAAGTTGAGAAGATGCAATCTATAAAATGAAGACTTGATTCATTCTTCTATGAGATCAATGAAAACAAGTAATTAGGAAAAACTGGAAAACTAAAGTGTATAATGACAGGGTTAATAATGTAAACTTTAGTTTATTATGAAACATATATTTCTATTATTTGCCAAATTGAGGGGATAGTAACTAAGTTTAGTTGAAAGGCTAGCTAGAAGATGATAATGTTGCATATTTTTTTTCAGTCATGGCTCCCAGCTATGACAAGATATAAAAACTTGTGATGCTGCATAAAATGAATATATAGGCATTGGTTTTATTTATGTTTTAGAGCACAAATATAGGATAGGCATTTTATATTAATCCCATCAAAATGTTTTGATTGGGTAGGTAACAAGCATGACAAGCTTGTCAAAAGCTAAAATGTACTTTATGTGATCTTTGACAAATAACAGGCGGCTCAAATGGTGGCACGATACAAGTATAAAGTTCCTGGGAATTGGTAGAAACATGTTTAAAACAGAGTTTAATGTAATTGCAACTCTTGTTTGATAATTAAATCTGTAGGACTTTTTTATTTGTTATCAAGACAATATAGGTACTGAACTCAGTGTGTTTTGTGTATGCTTCAAAATAATTTTTTTGTACTTTGGAATGGTAAGAAGTTATAACTTAGGCTAATTGTTTATGCATCTTCTTTTAACTAACAAAATAGTTTCTGACTAAAAAAACATTTTCAACTATTTGGATGCAGAGTTTCTCCTCTGAGTTTTGAACTTGAAGCTACCTTGAAACTGGCCCGATTTCTGTGCAGGTATTGATCTCTAGGAAAACATTTTCCCTCATTATCATAAAAATGCAGCATCTCTGAGATTTACATTGAAGAGTTCCTCAAAAAAAAGGACATTGAAGAAATAAGAGGGGGATGATGCTGGCATATCGCCTTTGGGATTACGTTTACATGATGTGTCACATATAAATTTAATCTTTAGCTTCCTTTTTGGTTGCATCATACTTTTGACTTATTAACTTCATGATTTTTTCTTTATTGTTTGTTGGTACCGTACTCATGCCACTGCAAAGTTATATCGATATATGAAGCAATAAATTTTCAGAGAGAACTATGCCTTTCCTTGTTAAAATTGTTCTTCTAAAACTTGTGGAGTCTTCTGTTTTGTTTGGTTTTCGATCCTCTGTTAGTTTTGTTCCCTCTTGCTAGGTGGGGGAAAGAAAAGAAGTCCTCCCTTCTACTTACTCCTTTAAGTTTGGTGAAAACCAATGAACTCATTTTCTATTGATGAAGCAATTTTTGTGTCTTTTTCTCAAATGTGATGAAAGAAAAGAAAATCTAGAAATTTGATAGGAACATCTCTGATTATAATGCAATTCTTTGTTTTTTTTCCAGTATTAGTTTGCTGTCATTCATTTTTTAGTGCTTTGTGAAGATTTTTTATAATTGGGAGGGGAGGTCAGTGGGAGTGCTTTAGGGTGGCTGGAAGCACTTAGCTAGTAACTTATGGTCGTTGAGTACTATAGTTTTCTTTTTCCTGCTTAGATCAGAGAAGAGGAACTGCAGCTTCTAAGGGTCTGTGTTGTGGTTTTCATGATCTTTCTTATCATCTTGCAAACTGTCAAATACACATTTATGTTTATTCATGTATATATATTGGATAAGTTTTATCTCAAAAAGAAAATCGCTGAGTTTGCAGGTGCACCATTTTTAGTCAAGTGTGTTTTGATATTTTCTAATTATTTTCTTTTTGGCTTTTTTCTGGTGTTTTACAGGAGAGAGCTGGCTAAGGAAGTAGTGGAGTTGTTAACCAGTGCTGCTGATGGTGCAAAATCTTTGATTGATGCCAGTGATAAACTCATATTATATGTCGAAATAGCGCGGTTATTTGGTATGCTTGGATATCAACGAAAAGCTGCCTTCTTTTCTAGGCAGGTAGCTCAGCTGTACTTCAGACAAGAGAATAGACTGGCAGCTATTAGTGCCATGCAAGTTCTGGCGATGACCACAAAAGCTTACCATGTTCAAAGTAGAGCATCCTTCTCCAATTCTAATGTAAGTTTGCAAGCATGGGTGAACAGTTTTTTTAAAAGAAGTTTGTATTCCATCTATACTGTTAAAACAGAGTAATATCATGTAAATTATCTTGTCTATATTGCTTAGTTTAATCATGTTAACTTGCTTGATGGTTTTTATTTCCTTTGCAAAAGGAAGCTGGATCAGGTCAGATTGACAGTGGAAAAATGCATCACCAATCTGTAATCTCGCTGTTTGAGTCTCAGTGGAGCACTTTGCAGATGGTTGTTCTGAGGGAGATATTGCTTTCTGCAGTTCGTGCTGGAGATCCTCTTGCTGCCTGGAGTGCAGCAGCAAGACTACTAAGATCTTATTACCCTCTAATCACACCTGCTGGGCAAAATGGCCTTGCCAGTGCCCTTACAAATTCATCGGAAAGGTTGCCATCTGGAACTCGTTGCGCTGATCCTGCCTTACCTTTCGTAAGGTATGTGCTATAGTGCAAATGTCATATAACTTCAGGGAATTAGATACTTGTAAAACAACTTTAAGAAATTCACCTTTTAGTTCAAACTTTGAAAAGCTTTATTTATTTTTGGGTTTCTGGAAAGTACACTGCAGGCTTGAAAGTGGGCACGTATTGTCTTCCTTCTACTTGATAACTGCCATATGATTGACATTAAGATTGTTGCTTAAGTATTTTTTTTTCCTCGTACATTTTAATTATAATTAGTTTGATCTTCTATAAAAGATTGGGAACTAATCAATAATTTGTACTCCTAGGTTATATTCTTTTCCTCAACATCCCTCACAGGTAGATATTGTAAAAAGAAATCCAGCTAGAGAAGATTGGTGGGCTGGATCTGCTCCCTCTGGCCCCTTTATCTATACACCATTCAGCAAAGGGGAATCAAATGATACTAACAAACAGGAGCTGATTTGGGTAGTTAGTGAGCCAGTCCAGGTTTTGGTGGAGTTGGCAAATCCATGTGGCTTTAATTTGAGAGTTGATAGTATATATCTCTCAGTCCATACAGCAAATTTTGATGGTTTTCCTATCAGTGTTGATCTCCCACCTAATTCATCAAAGGTAATCACATTATCTGGAATTTCCACTGCAGTTGGACCGGTGGCAATTCCAGGATGCACTGTCCATTGCTTTGGTGTGATTACTGAACATCTTTTTAAGGATGTTGATAATTTGCTTCTAGGAGCAGCACAGGGACTTGTACTTTCAGATCCTTTCCGATGCTGTGGATCTGTGAAGTTGAGAAATATGTCTGTTCCAACTATATCTGTGGTTCCCCCTTTGCCATTGCTAGTGCCACGAATTGTAGGTGGGGATGGTAATATTGTTCTGTATGAAGGTGAGATCCGTGATGTGTGGATAAGTCTGTCGAATGCAGGAACAGTTCCTGTAGAGCAGGCACATATCTCATTATCTGGAAAAAATCAGGATGCTGTTATCTCAATTGCATCTGAAAGTTTAAAGTCTGCTCTTCCTTTGAAGCCTGGTGCTGAAGTGACTGTGCCTGTGACCTTAAAAGCCTGGCAACTTGGGCCAGTGGACACTGATAATGCTGCTGGCCGGGGTGCCTCAGTAAGCACAGGAAGAAATCTAAAAGATGGAAGCAGCCCCTCATTATTAATCCATTATGCAGGTATTTCTAACCATATTTAAATTTCTTATTTTGTCATTAACTTGTATTTATTTAATAAAACTTTAAAACTTCCTTGCATTTTTTTAATGAAGGCTCAAAGCTATCTCTCATGTGTGTTCAGGAAACCCAACAAGATTAACAAAAAATTTGAAGCACTTCACTTTTTTCTTTAACATGTATGTTTGAAGTTAGACTGATATAATGGTTAAACATGATGGAGAGATAGGACAATTTAGGGGATAAAATTTAGAGATAAAAAATCCAACAATTGAATTAAGATTCTGGTTTGTCCAGAGCATAGAGAGAATTTTTCTCTTGGATGATTCTGGTTTTGTGTCAACAGAATCTAACTCTTCGAAAATTTAGATGTGATATGTAAACCTCCTTATATATAAGGACAATTAACTCTTAACTTTTAGGACTCATTAGTTAATAAGAAGAAAACATTTAATCAACTAATTCTGGAAATCTGCATCATAACTAGATTACCAAAGTAACCCACATAACTAAACCAAAGATGTTCTGCCGTTGAGAACAGGAACTTCATGCTGGAAATAATAAGAAGAAAAGCCTGTAGAGACTCAATTGATAATTATTGATGATCAGTGAGCATGATCTCTGCTCTGT